TCTTATCTCTTCCTCGCTTCTCTGGAGATGAGAGCACATTCTCTACTCCCCTCCCACCATTCCAGTCCATCACAACTTTCTACACTAAAACTTAAAGCATACTACTAGATTAAAAGCTGATACCTGGTTTCTTCTAGGTTTTGGTGGAAAAAGACTGGATTGCTTTTGGACACAAATTTTCAGATAGGTAATGTTTTTCGCTTTAAAGAAGCCATGCATTTGAATTCTTTATGTAATATGCCTTATTATGTTAATATGAAATGTATAAGCCTGCATATTATAATATTGTTCAGACATGTTTAATTTGAGCTGTAAAGTATACATTTATTCTGTTTTAGTACAATTGTTTGATTTATATACTATTCAAGGTTTTATAAAGGTTTTTTAAAAAAACCTGAGTGGTCCTATTTCCTATCTAATTAACCAACTTAAAACTCTTAACTGATCAGGTTTTTTGGATCCTATAGAGCCCTTCTCCTGGCTGTTAGCAGGTTGCAAGTTATGCTCAAATGGTTGCACACACTCACACTGTTTTTCTCTGGAAGAGCTGTTCTTATTGCAAGGGGTTCTTTGGAGAAACAGTATAGACCACCAACAATGAGCAGTGTTGTCTTCCCTGTACAATCAAAAAAATTGTACAATAGAAACCCAGGAAGGCTATTGTACAAAATTGTTTAACAAAGTTACTGGATCTTAGTTATTTCCTAACTTTTCGCTTAACTCTTATCACTAAACCTATACTATATCTATACTATATATCCATGTGTATGTCCTTTAGGTGTTATGTATCGAAAATCCTAAAGATTTCTATACACGATTCTTTTCTCCTTTGTCATACAAGTAAGCTTGCTTAAGCAAAAACTAATTCTTTAGCTACCTTGCAGTTAATTGGCTTCTATTGCTGGCTGGCGTTTTGGGACTATCGGGTATAGAGAGTAAGGAAGATAACCTAAACAAATATGCAAGAACTGTTATCTAAGCAAAGAGGGCTGAAACATTATTTATGTCCTCAGAAACAAAATAATATTTGGAAGCAGCTCAGGCAAACCCCTCCCTGATTCACTGGGGTACAAGAAGGAGGGGAGGGGTAGCACAATCAGAGCTGCAAAATTCTGTTGTCATAGCCAACCTCAATAAAAGGTACTTCTAGTCTTCCTGTGCAGTTGATTTCCTGGTCTGGTCTACCTAGTAGGGTGCTATCAGCTCAATGCTGCTGACTGCCATTCTGAACTGTTGCCGAAGCACTGGCTTTGTAAAGTTTTTCAGCCGGTGTTGGCAGGTGGGAGAGATCCTTTAAGACAGCTGGCTTGCTGTAGGCTGTCAGGGCCTTTGCTGAAGTGGAGCGCTGTCAGGTTCTACTTATCCTTTCAGCTTTTCCACTTTTGGTTTACTGGAATTCACACCCCCTCTTTCTTTGCCATCAGTTACCTGCTGCACTGCATTTTATCCTGGCATCTGCTCCCCTCTCTCACCTGCAAGTTCTTCTCCTGCTTTGCTACATGACAACAATCTCCCTCCAGCCAACTCACCCACCCTCAGGTGCTAATGGCACCATCCTTTTATAGTTGGAATCCCAGATGTAATCTGGTGCTCCTCCTGCTACTTGGGTAGTCCTGGGAGGGTGGAACAACAAAGAAAAGGAAGGGGTCACATGGACCATTGCAAGAGTTTCCCTGCACATACACACACACAAACTTTTCATCGATTTATATCCCACCTTTCGCATTGTTTTTAAAAATCACAAAATGCATATAAGCTTGGCAGATTATTAAAGCACTTTAAAAAGATTCCAGGGAAGCCATTATTATCTGCAGAGATGCCTTAAGGTCCCAGCTTAATGTTTTCCATTCTATTTTATATTGTTTTTTCTAACTGAACTTAAGATTGTGTTTCTCTAAATTTTTACAGCTGTATTTGAACTGCTAAGGTCTGAAAGTTGCACAACGTCTCCCACAGATGTCATTATTGTGTATTTCAAACAACACCCTATTCCTTATTCCATACCATGGGCAAGGAGCAAACTATTTCTGTGTGCCCTGCTCATGGACATAAATAGTACAGGAAATAGAGGAGAGACACTGTAATTTTACCAGAATGGGTGATGCCGAAATTGTTAAAGCATTTTTTAGGGTTGGGTGGCTTTGACCCCATGAAAAACCAGCCCATCTTTTGGAGGGTTTGGGGTTTTAAATTGGGTGCTATGGATACCTAAGTCTCTGGAAGGCTTAAGGCAGTCATTTTGTCCCTTAAACCCATGCAATCCACTCCCTCCCCAAATCAAATGCAAACATTTTAGCTTTGGCTAATCTGGAGGGCTCTGGGAGCCATAAGATACCAGCCACCCCAAATTATATGATGCATTGGTTGTGAAACAAGTCAGGGTCTCCAAACAGTTTGATATGGAATGGTATGTTCTCTTACTGCAGCCCAATGGACGTGCCTAGAAATTATTTTGTGTCTAAGTAATAATTGCCCTGTCAACTGTAAACTGTAACCAGAGCAAGGTACAAAAAGGAGATTTCAACAGTCTTTTTATCAGGCAAGTGTATCATGTACCAATAGACTGCTTAGTGAATGTTCCTCATATAGTATAGGAAATGCATTTTCTATCTCCCATTAAGTAACATGGAATATATTTTATAGATGTGGACAACTGGACGGTGACCCAAAGGAAATATCCCCAGTGTTTGCCCAATTTTTAGAAAGTGTCTGGCACCTGACAGAGCAGTTTCCACAGGCCTTTGAGTACAATGAAGCTTTTCTCCTTCAGATCCATGAGCACATCCATTCATGTCAGTTTGGAAACTTCATTGGAAACTGCCAAAAAGAACGAGAAGAACTCAAGTAAGACTCTTAGTAGCAATATATTAACATAAAACTGAACTTCTCAGATTATTCCTCCCTCCTTCCTTCTGCCTTTTCTTCCTTCATCATTTTTATGCTACAATTCAACTAGAAAGCCTCCCATTGTACTTACAGATCAGTACAGAAAGACAGTCCCTATCTTCAGGCTTACAGTCTGAAAAATCACTGTCTAAAGTGTGGGAGGAACAATAGTTTAAAAATAAAATAAGTTTAAAAAAAAAAATGGAAAGGGGAATGTGGTGGCAAAAGAGAAATAAGAGTTCCAATTCTTAGTCTGTCTCTGCTATAGCCTAATGGAAAGGCTGCACTTTACTGCCAAGAGTAGTCAAAGAATTTCCCCATAGGGCTATTAAATATTAAACTATCAGATAAGATCAGTGATGGAGATCAGACTTTGCTAGGCTGAAAAGCGAAGTAGCTCTTTTAAGTGCTGATGCTTAGAATCAATTTTCAAATGGAGAAAAATCCAATATTGCAAGTATATGTGGGGGGAAAAATCTCCTTGCTTTGATTTTAATATGTGCAAAATCTTCCTGAGAATAATATATTCCTTCAGCAAGAAGAAGATCACATGAACTTAAGCCTTCCTTCAATATCTTCCCTTTTCCTCCCTTTGATGGCCATTTCACATCTTGAAATTCCTCTCATTCTGAGTCTGTTGGATGGTAGCTTTGGTGTGGAATAACTATTTATATTGTATCTTCTCTTTTGTCCTCCTTCAATTAGGTAAATGTTAGTGGGGTGGAGTGGGTAGGAAGGCAGCGTAAAAAACTTGTTTGTAGTTGTAATTAAACTGCTCTTTGTGCCTGCTTTCTGATCATAGATGTCCCACATCTTGTAACTTGATACAGTACTGATATTCCTCAACCAGTGACAAGTGTTTAACTCTAGGATCTTCTTATCTTAAGATTGAAAGAGAAGACTTTTTCATTGTGGCCTTTTCTTTTGGATGACCACAAGAAATACTTAAATCCCATCTACAGTGAGGATTTTTCACAGTCACGTACAGTCCTGGAGCCTGATACAGCAGCCTTTAATTTTAAGTAAGTTTCAATTATGCATTTTATGTCCCAGCAGCTGGACTGGGGTATTAACATAGATTATGTTGATGCATACAGGTTTTGGAGAAACATGTATCATCAGTTTGATCACACAATGCATCCCCGGCAATCTGTACTCAGCCACGTGATGAGCATGAGTGAGCAAAATAAACAACTAGAGAAAGATATTAAGGAATTGGAAACCGTAAGTATTGGCAACTTTCACTTTCACTTCTGACTCTAAAAAGGGGCCACTTTCCTCCTCAAAAATCATTTCTTTGTTCCAAAATCAGGAGTGATTCTAATCTCCATTCATTGCTTTGCATTGTATTTGTATTTCTGGGGGTTTTTGCTTTTGTTTTCTGCAATTCGATATGGAAATTAAGATTCCACTAACTTGATATTCAGTTTTCATTTCTTGTACTATTAGTCTCCAGTGCCAGTATTTTAATACTCTACAGTGTATAGCTGATTGTAATAGTAGATCGGTAAAATCATTTCGACCTAGTGTTACTGCTCATCAGGAACAAGAGGATATAGGATGGATGGATGAACAATCAGTACTATAGGGGGGCAGTGGGTGAAACTGGGAGAGTAAAGTGAGGGGAAAACCCATATTCAGTCCGTGATATTTTCAAGTAAAAGGTGCTTAGGTTAGCATAACTGGGAAGTAGGTCAGGGAGGCCCATTGCTTATTGGGGAGACAGTACTGGACTACATAAACCAGTGGCTAGACCTCACTATAAAGTAGCTTCCTATTCAGAAGATTGGAGACAATTTATCAGGATAGGGACAGATGAAAGAAAACAGATAAAAGCTACTAATTCTGAATCATTTTTCTTAATATTAGAAATTGGGCCACCATTTACACAAGGATTTGGATGCAGTCTTTGCGAAGGAGCCGTTGCAGTCTGTCTGTCCCATATCATCAGGAGTTAAAACATCGCTGTGCTTTAAGAAGGAGCAGCCTCTTTTACACGAGAATGACTGTATTCGAACGATAGAGGGCTCCAACGCAGCAGACAATCGATACAGCGAGTACATGGAGGAGTTCTCCAAAACAGAGCCTAGTGTTGTCAGCCTGGAATATGGAGTGGCAAGAATGACCTGTTAAATGTCATATGAAGCTGTTCTGCTTTTCTGAAAAGATTGAAGGGCATTGTGAGTCTGATCTCTTGGAATGTAACCAAAAACTAATGTGTGTAATGGAGAACCTCATTAATGTAGACTACAGCGCACATTAGTTTTAAAAATGTCATTCTTGTAAGAGGTAATTGAATTTAACAATATCGAAAAGGATGTGAAGAACTTAGGAACCCTTTTGTGGCTTAAAAGAATTGAGGAGTGAAAGTGGTACACCATAGCAAATTATAACTTCCACTAGTTTATTCCAAATGTTCACTGGTTTCAGTCCAGATGGAATCATTGTTAAAGTAAACCCATAGAAAGCAGTGAGATTTAAACAAGTCAAGATTTCAGTGAATCCACTAAAAGATGACTACTTCTAATTCATCCAGTGTGAATATTGCCAAATGGTAAATGATATTTGAATGCTTGCTTTTAGGACACAGACAACTTACTGGGATCAATGAACATCTGTATATAAATGTAAAGTGTATGTGTATTCCTGTTTAATCTGTTGCGTGTTACAGTATTTTCAGTGATATCTACATCATTAATTAGTATCAAAGTAGTAAGAGCGATATTCATATATATTTGTTCTGCTCATTTTTTTGAGAGCAGTTCATTTGGAATATCTAAAATATGCTTAGTGACTTCTTTAAATTATTCTCTTTCAAAACAGTACTATGAGATTCACATCAGTAATTATGGAATACCAATCTCTTGGGTATTCAGTTTTAACCCCTTATAACCAGACAGGAAACCTTTTTCCCCCCTTTATTTTTATGATGAAGCTCTAGTTATAAAAAATAAAGGGGGAAAAAATGGTTTCCTACTTGGTTAAAATTGTAGCCCCAAGGCTGTGTATCTTCCATATAATTCTGTCCAGCTATTGGAAGTACACTTCAGTTGATAAAATGGGCAGTCTAGGAGTATCCATGTATTTCAGGATTGGAGTACCCATTTCCAAGAATAGGCTATATTTCAGAGTGGTCAAGTGTTTAGGCTTCTTGCAATTATGTATAAAATAACGTGAGCCTCTAGCAAAATAGAAAGTATAAGAGCAGTACCTATTGTTTTTGGTTGGATATGTTTGTGGTTTCCTGCAGGATTTTAATTTGTTTTGTAAATCTGCTTTAAAAGATGCAGCTTAATTTGAAATAAAAAGTAGCTTGTTTTTCAATCAGTAGGATCGCCATATTAATGTATTAAGTGAATAAGTAATTGTGAATTATTAATCAAGTAGCCACTCTTGGGTAAAGATTAAGAACAAACTAAAATTTAGGTCTACAGGCCGTATGGCTGCAGAATCTCTTACTTTTGAAAATTTGTTAATGTTCACATCTATCTGGGGCCAGTATCCCAAGTCAGATGAAACAGATATCCAATTAAGCAGGATGCTTGGGTAAGAAAGTATGCTATGTATTCTTATAGATAAATCAGTATGTTCTCAATAACTTTGGTATTTCTTCACCAGAAAAGAGAATAGATTTGCTTCAGTGGGACCCTGCCTCTGTTTGCTTTCTCCCAATTTGTTTTTATTGTTCAGATGAAGAAAAGGAAATGAGTGTTGAAAGCTAAGATGGTAAACATGCACGCCTTAGGGATGTTGAACATCCTAGGTGATATTGTAGGTAATTTGTACCTGAGGGACCAAATGCTTATTACACAGTGAAAATTAGTTTAGCTTTGCTGCAATCACTGAAGGCTGAGCAAGACCACCATCAGGCTACACAAAACCTGACACGGTTGGCTGTCTGATTCTATCTTAGTTGGGATCCAGTCACACTAATAACAGGTGAGGAGAATCTTACCTGGAATACTTCAAAGGTAACATTACAATGTTTGAAGAAGGAACAAGTGGAAAAAATGGTGCTTTTGATACTGTTGATGATAGACATATTTAATTACAAAAATTGGTTGGGAGGGGAAATGGGATCCATCATTTACCTAGTATATGGTGCATTCTCACATATTTTGCCTGTTTAGGCATTGCAGATTTTGCATGGCAGTGACTTTTGAAAAATATTAGGGCAGAGAAATTTGCGTGCCTCTAGTTGTTTTTCCCTCTAGTTTTTTTTTTAAACTGTAGATGAATAATTGCCTGTTATCTGATATACTGGAAATACAAGACCAAACATTGTATTGCAATTGTCTTCTGTTGATTAAAAAAACACCTATGTATAGCTGCATTAGTCTTGTTGAAGAGTTATAAAATTAACTTCTTTAATCATTTGAATAGTTGAACTGCAAGTCTTTAGATATTTCAGAGTTGAAGACTAGATTTGTCATAGAACGTCTCATCTGAAATTATCTGCCTCTATTTATGTGATTTATACCACACCTTAAGAGCTGAAAGGGCATGCATAGCGCTCCTTGTTTTTTCGCACAACAGCCCTGTGAAATAGGTTGGGTTGAAAGAGAGTAACTGAACCAAAGTCACCCAGTTACCTTTGGTAACTGAGGGTAGACTAGAATCACCCCTAGTCCAACACCTTAACATCTTAACACCACATTGTCTCTCTCTCTCTCTCCACCCTACAGAGGATATAGGATGGAAGATACCTAAGGGGGGAATCAGAATAGCAAATTTAGGTAACAAGACAAGGTATGCTAGGACTCTTAAGAGACACATAGTAACAAGTCATCATGTTCAGATGCCATCCACCTGAGTGTTCTTAAAGAATGTAAATATGGAATTACTGACCTAGCAAAAATGTATAACTTATCCATTAGATCTGGCTCAGTGCCAGATGACTGGAAGGTAGCTATCTGACAACAATTTTTTAAAAAAGAGAGCCAGGAAATTATAGGCTATTCAGCTTCATGTCTGTTCTTGACAAATTATAGAAATGGTGATCAAAGAATGACTAACTCAACACACAGCTTTACTGAAAGAAAATCAGTGTGGATGGCGGTGATTATGTCAACTGTGTGCTTGGATTTTCAAGTCTTTAACAAGGTTTCTCACCCAAAGCTCTAGAGGAAACTTAGTGGCAGGTTGCTAAGTGGCTAAAAAGGAGAAAGTAGAGAGTAGGAATAAACATTTCTCAGTGGAGGGGAGTAAGAAGTGAAGTCCTTTAAGGATCTGCATTGAAACCGGTGCTTTTTAACTTATTCATAAATGATCTTGACTTACACTAAGTAGCGAATGTGTCAGGTTTGTGGATAACTCTATGATGGTGATAAATAAAAAGGATCTGTTTAAACTGAATGAGTGGTCAACCAAATTGTAAGTGTGGTTCAATTTAAATAAGTAATACCCTTTGGGGCAAAAAACCTCTTAACTTCACCATATGCACTGATGTGATGTAACTGTCTGCAACTAACCAGGAAAAGATCTTGGACTCATGAAAGTGCTAGTTGTAAAAAAAAAAAAAAAAGCAATTCCATACTGGGGTTCATTAAGAAAGGGATTGAAAATAAAACTGCCCACATTGTAAGGCCATTAAACAAATCTGTGGTGTATGCATGTACATGTGTGCACATGCACATAAATAACACTCATTAGGACAATTTGTCAATATGTGGCATATGGGGAGGAGGGAGATTTTTAACCCATTCTTGCTGTGCTATTTTCTTGGACAATATCCCTTTCATCTTATAGCTGCTCTTGGGCCCTCATTATTGCTAGTGAACTCCTCCCTTCCATCCAATTTCCAGATCAGTCACAGAGGACTCTACTGGCTGGGAATTTAAGGAGTTGCTGCATCAACACATCTGGAAAATGTCAGATTTAAGAAGGCTAAACATAATTTTTAAAAAGCACAACCTCAGGTGCTACACATACTAACACATTTTATGGGAATCAGTCTTTCAGATGTGCTCAAGTAATTAGATACTTGGTTAAATTATGTATGTCTTAAGTTGATATGGGTTTCTTAACTTGAATATCCCATTTTATTTACTTCTTTTATCTGCTTCAGGGTGGGTATTCTGACAAGCTGTTTTTACTCATTACTCCTATTAATTAATATCTAATTAATTATAAATTAATTGCCAAGTTCCTATTCCTCATATTAAAACCTCAGGATAGGTGTTAGATCAGACCAAAAGTCTGTCTAGTATAGCAGTCTGATCCACTGGGCCAACCCAAATGCTTGAGAGGGTCACAGGGTAAATATGACCATGACACATGTCTGTAAAAGTCAAATCATAAACCCAAAATCACAGGGTAGATGGTCTCCATGATAATATACCTTGAATGCTTTTTAATTAAAAAGAGTGGGATAACAATATTTAATAATTAAAATGTTTTCTTTTATCCTTGGTGGGGTATCCAGTTACTTCTGCCATGGAAATAATCTCTAACTTTTCCAAGACTTTTCTTTCACATGGTAATTTCAATAGTCCTCCATCCATGCAAAAATCCAGACCCTAAAATTTAATGTTCAACCCTAAAACTTCTTCATTGTAGGGGAGATGGGCGGGAGAGAAATCCAATGAATGAATGAATGAATGAATAAAATGTTTCTTAAAGCAGTATTTCTTGCTGTATCTTTCAGTAGGAAAAAGAATGCTTATATCTGTATTCCTTTGTAGATGTATCTGCCCCTCTTCACAAAAGTGTTTAGGATTTTAGATTGACAGCCATGTTTCTAGACTACATAATCAGCCCTCCAAGCATATTGCTATCATGAGAAAGCTTAGCTGATGAGTCTGAGGTCTCCATCATATGCTCTAAAATGGTTCCTCAACCTTGGCAACTTTAAGACGGGTGGACTTCAACTCCCAGAATTCCCCAGCCTGCAAGGCTGGCTGGGGAATTCTG